CCTCTTCGGCTTCAGGATGACAGTTGATAAGTATAACCATAAGATATTGAAGACAATGAAGAACATGGGGGGGAGCCATGAGCCCTGAGGAGACTAATAAATAATGAAAAGAAGGAGCACATGTAGCCAAGCTGCAGATCCCTGGGGGTGCCCATTACTGGTCCCCTGCGGAAAGCTGGGAGAGGCAGCAGGATGTCTGGAGTTCTGCTAAGTGTGATTTTGACTCCTTCAGTGCTCTCAGATGCGTAGACCAGGGTATTTATATTCTCCCAGCATGGTTCCAAAATTGAGAACAGTGATCGAGTTTGGAAAGATTGCATAATCTGATCACTAGCTTTGGCAACTGCCTTTTCCCTCACTCCCTAGGGAGGTTATGCTGCCCAGTAGGCACTGTGGTTCTCAGTCTGTGTCACCCTGGCCCTTATGTTCCATGAAGATTCATCTGGAACAGCCAGGGAGGAGCTGGCAGGTGGGCTTCTAGGCCCCCTCTACCTGTTTCTGTGAAAACAGTTCCACTTTTAGCTGCTGTGTTTTTTACAGAATCCCTAAAGTTTTGGGGGAGCTCTTCTGCCTCAAAAAAAAACAAACAAACTTCAAAATCAATGGTGCGTGATGGTTGCTCCCATTTGCAAGTTGTTCTTTTGCACTCATTGAATGTGTCTGAAATATAACCATGTTGATAAAGTACTTCACATTCAATCATTGTAGAATAGACCACAATATCGTCATTTCCCTGATGATGGATATTCAGATGGCTTGCTATTTTTCACATCTCAAATAACATTTCAGTGGCATTAAGGACATCTTAATACAGGCAATGGATGATGGACAAAAAGGGAAGGACTGCAGGAGGAGTGGGGGTTAGTGAGAACATGCGGGGCAGCACAGTGGAGGACTATGCTGCATGGGCGCCACGGGACCAGGGCCCCCCCAACAGTCAAAATGGGTCTGTGAGCCTGAGGATCCAGTAGTGACACAGAGCAAGCCATGGCGAGGTGTGAATTATGTCTGGGGGACTAGATGGCTGAGGGTAGAGAGGAAAATGAGTCCATCAAAAACCTAAGAGGCCAATGCTTGAGCTGAGTCATTTACACAACATTTTCATTTGCTCCTTCAGCTCCACTCTGCATCCTTCTCACTCTGCTCTGTGCACCAGAGGCTGGCTTTTAGGTACCATCTGAGTGCTCTTGCCCTCGGACTGAAAGGCATACAGCTGAGGCTGTAGAAGGAGTGAAGACAGGGCATCCCTTCCCCAAGCCCCTGCCCGTGAGATCCCTGCAGGTGGGCTGCATCCCTGCACTGAAAGCCACTGCTCCTTTTCCCACACTTTGTCTTTTTAGGACAGCAGATGCCCCTCCCTTTCTCTAGCTGCTGAAGAAGGTACAGCATCTTGCCTTGGGACCTGCACACTCATCTTGGGTTTCCTCTATGCCAAGAATCATTTGATTGACCTCTTTTCCTCTATTAACCTGCTTACATGTGCTATCTCTTTCTTGCCTGGTAGGTACAAGCCAATCTAATGGATATTGAAGACCAAGAAAATGACATGAGTGGGGGTAGAGAGGAAGTTAGTGAGCCACCAAGCCCTAGTGAGGCATAATGTCTCTAAGTCTTTGTAAAATAACGTTAGCCCACATTTTGTAAATATACTTTCAAACCAAAATCCCTGCCTAATTTTTTTTATGTGAATTCCTAGTGTTAGCACAATATCTGGCATGTAGAAAACATTTAAAAATGAACATAAATTGAATTGAATAGGACTGAATTAAATTAAACAGAATTGAATAGAATCTTACTGAATAAATGAGATGCTAATTTTGCATATTTTAAACATCATGGGTATTCTCCCCCCACCCAGCATATGGTTTTTTAAAGCTTCATGAACATCAAATAATAAATTAGATCAGGGATTGAGTTGCCGAAATGAATGACGAGTAATAAATGTTTGCTTATATTAGCATCTCTTATAGAAAAATGTCGCGGTCATGAAAATTTTGTGATAAATCCAGATCCCCTTAAGCTTTCAAGACCCACTTTCTTTTTTTTTTGAGTTGGAGTCTCACTCTGTCGCCTAGACTGGAGTGCAGTGGCCGCTCCCGGCCACCGCAGCCTCGACCTGCTGGGCTCCGGCGATCCTTCCGCCTCAGCCTTCCAAGTAGCTGGAACTACAGGCACACGCTACCACACCCGGCTGATTTTTTCATTTTTATTGTAGAGATGAGGTCTCGCCAAGTTGCCCAGGTGGGTCTCGAACCCGCGGGCTCAGGCAATCCACTCACCTCAGCCTCCCAAAGGCGCGGGATTACAGGCTGAGCCACCGAGCCCGGCTAAGACCCACTTTCTTGATATGGTGAGCATCTTTGCTCTTGGAAAACTTGGCTTTCTATCTCCAAGACAAAAAAGCAACTTTCAGAACAAGTAATTATCCATTTGAAAGTAATTTTGATAGACACATATCTATTACATTTTCTTAAATTACAATACTGAGTAGAAAAAAATATATAAAGTCCTTTTTGAACTTGAGTTTTAAGCAATCTAAAATACCATGTATTAAATCTTGGCACGATATGAGTTAAACCTTTTCTGGCATCACACAGTGATTGTTCTTCTCAAACAGCAAATCATAGAGATAGTTAACCAAGGAGAAAAATAAAGTAAACATGGCTCTATTGGCATTTGGCCTTTTGGGGGATGCAGGGGGAGCATTTCCTTTCCTTCTTCCTTTATCCAAACACTGAACACCCAATACTTGGCTCTATCCCCGCAGCTCCTATTATCCATACACACATGAAGTTTCATTTTAGAGTGCCTATTACTTAAAAGGCATTTCAGACCGGGCTCGGTGGCTCAGCCTGTAATCCCAGCACTTTGGGAGGCTGAAACAAGTGGATTGCCTGAGCCCGTGGGTTCGAGACCAGCCTGGGCAACTTGGCAAGACCTCGTCTCTACAATAAATCAAAAATTAGCCGAGAGTGGTAGCACACGCCTGTAGTTCTGGATACTTAGAAGACAGAGGCAGAAGGATCACCGGAGCCCAGCGGGTCGATGCTGGTATGGCAGTGAGTGTGCCACTGTGCTCCAGCCTGGCAACGTAGTGATACCGCAACTAAAAAAAAAAAAAGGCGTTTTAAATCAAGAGCTTAAGACTTGGTCTTTCGTGCCAAGTCAAGGAAATGGACTAATTTGGGGCTGCCAAAATCACTTCTTTACATCCTTTTATAAGAAAAGTAGTTTTAAAGCAAAAGATTTTTCTAGCATTTATTCAGACTATTCTAATGCAGCGGAATGGTTATTACTGGCAATCTTGTTGTAGAGTGACCCCCATCATAAAAAGTCTAGAGCTAGTAGCTCAGCAGATTTTAACATGTGACAAATAAGGTGAAGTTCACAGTTGAACCTTATACCTCCACCCTGATTACAATCTCAGAAATGCATTCAGCTGGTCACCAGCAGAGCAAGCTGCTTGGTCTGGACTAGAATGCTCAACTGGGATGACTTTATCTCCTATGCCAGCTCCCGAGGATGAGTCATAGTTCCTGGTGGCTGAATCAGGGTGTCTTGGGGAGTGTCCTGGCATAAATTAGTGATGTCTGCCACCACGGGCTAAGGTGGGTAGAATGGCAGCATTCAGGACATGGTAGAAAAAGCAGACTTTGAAGTTGAAGGGTCAAGGTCAGAATCTTATCTCCATGCCTTATAGCAGTGAGATATCTTGGGCAGTCGTCCACTCAGCAGTCTGTTTTCTTACCTATAAAATGAAGACAATAAAAATTTTCAAGAAAATTAAAGTGGATATCACAGATAAAAAAGAATTACACTGTAGCCTAAATCTTAGTTGTTGTTGCTCCAGTCTAGTGTTTCCCTCCTTTAGACTCATGGCATTTAGTATTTCTGTCATTCTTTTGGCAATTAATTGTGAACCACCTGCCATGTTACATGGGTGTGTTGTACAACCTCAACATGTTTACCTGTCTGCACTGCTGTCCACACTTCCCAAACCATGCCTCTGATAGTATTTTAAAAACTCCAAATGTTGACAGGGAGATGAATAATAACTTTATCTTTTCATTTGAAGGGATATATTTTGTCTTTCACTTGAAAGAATTATTATTTTATGTTCATAAGAGCAATTTTTTTGTCTGTTTAATTTTTTTTTTTTTTTGAGTTGGAGTCTCACTCTGTCGCCCAGACTGGAGTGCAGTGGCCGCTCCCGGCCACCACAGCCTCGACCTGCTGGGCTCCGGCGATCCTTCCGCCTCAGCCTTCCAAGTAGCCAGAATTACAGGCATGCGCTACCATGCCCGGCTGATTTTTTGATTTATTGTAGAGATGAGGTCTCGCTGCCCAGGCGGGTCTCGAACCCGCGGGCTCAGGCAATCCACTCACCTCAGCCTCCCAAAGGCGCGGGATTACAGGCTGAGCCACCGAGCCCGGCTTGTCTGTTTAATTTTTAAATGGACTTTATTTTCAAGGAGCTGAGCTGCTTTCTGTGCTCGGGCAGCTCCCATGGGCCCATTTGCAGGGGGTACAGGCGAAAGGGCTTGATGGACCAAGCTTAGGGAAAGGGTCTACATTTCTGTGGGTGAGGCTGCTGATACCCATGGGTAGGTCCCACTTTGGGGGCTGACCCATAGGCAGGGTGCTGGGCTTGCCTACTTTCTCTGCACAGCATTGACACTTTTTAATCTATCTCTTTACTTCTTGAAACTCCCCTGCTCTTTGCTGACACTCGATTCATAGGATCACAGACTTTTAATGATTTACTTAGTGACAGTCCCCAGCCAGAGCTTCGAGCCATCTGGATTCAGTGTCCAGTGTTCTGTCCACGACTCAATGCTTTTAAAATCCAGCTCTCCCGAGAACTGCGCTTCCACATAAATCACTGCTTCTAGCTTGCCGGAAAGTTCCTTGGCTTTCTGCTAATCGTTGCAAGGACAGTTAGTTCCCTGTTGCTGCTGCTAAGCATGTAAACAACATGTTTCTTCTTTCTGTGGCGACAGGCACATCTCATCATCCTGAGTAGAAGCCCCTCTCAAGAGGAGGCAGCGGACTCTGCACGCTTCGTCGCCCACGCTGCCGTTGCTTCTGGGAAACCTGAGCACCATGGTAAGAATAAGCCTCCTCTCCTCCTCTTCCGCAGGCATCTGTGTCTCCAAACTCGCTGCCTTCTGGGTGGGTAAACAGGTGGACAGAGCTGTGACACAGGCCTTTCGGAGAGCTTTCCTTGTTTCATCTGATCATCTGTAGCTGTGCTACTCTGCTGGTTTCCCCAGAGTCCTTTGGCTTCCATCCCCCACCAGCCTTCCTCTAATCTTTTTCACTCAAATATCTAATCTTCATCCAAACGTAGCTATTTAGAGCCCCAGAGAAGCCGTACTGGACTTACAGGGAAATCTGTTCTGCTTCCAAAGGCGATCTATTTTTAAAGATTGTTGTGGCACTACAGTGGCAACAACTCTGACCTGTGGGCAAGCCAGGCTCCCAACTCTCTCAGGGCTGAGCTTTCAGTCAGGAGATACATGGAAGTTCAAGATTCCAAAGGGAAGTTGCTACTTAGAGTTCCTGTCGTCTTCCTTGTCTCCACATAACACGCAGGTAATTCCACCTTCTGGACTCAGAGCATACAGAGTGTTGTGCCTCCAGTGATAGAAAACGCATACTAGTGATTTTTTTTTTTTTTTTTTGGTCAGGATATTCAGAAATGAAGTGCAACTCATTAAGAAGACCTCAGGGTATATTCCAAGATATTAGATAAAAAATGATTATGTACTGAGTAAAATAAAGGCCAATGTGCCAGAAAGCATAAAATCATAGTCCAGAAGGCTTGGGGTGGTTTTAGGAAGCAGGAGTCAGGATAAGATGAGGAGGGAGACACGTGGGAGATGAAAGGCAAGCCTCAATGAGCAACCTGGTCTGAAAAGACTCAGAGGGGCTAGGCAAGGTGGATCACACCTGTAATCCCAGCACTTTGGGAGGCTGAGGCAGGAGGATCACTTGAGGCCAGGAATTCAAGACCCTGTCTCTACAAAATAATAAGAAGTAAAAAGATTAGCTAGGCATGGCAGCACATGTCTGTAGTCCCAACTACTCTAGAGGCTGAGGTGGGAGCATCGCTTAGGCCTAGGCATTCAAGATTAAAGTAAGCTTTGATTGTGCCTCTACACTCCAGTCTGGGCAATAGAGAAAAACCATATTTCTAAAAATAAAAATAAAATATAAAGTAAATAAAATGAAAAGATCCATAGACCAGGCAAGGAGCTCCAGTCTACAGAGTAGCTGATGAAGGGGGTCCCAGTGTTCATTCATGTATCCATCTCACAATGCAGATCTCTCATTCTGGCCTCCTAGAGCTTGAAGCACCTTTTCAGATCTGGAGCAGCCTGTCTAGGGATGGAGAAAGGAGGTGGCAAGTAGCCTTTCTGGTCCTTTTTCCTTAAAACATTCCACATATAACAATCAGGTTTCCCTTCAAAGGATCCACTTGTTGATACCTAAGATTCATTGGATACTAGGAAAGAACCTTCTATTCCATAGCCATTAATAAAACACCTAAAATGCAAATACATGTTTGATGGAAACCCCAAGGAAAACAAGAGTCATAAATATAAAGGAAAGAAACTTCCATTCTATAACCAATCAATAAAACACCTAAAAGGCAAATACACATTTGATGGAAACTCTAAGAATAGCAAGAGTCACAAATATAAATGTCTACAGGAATCAAGTAAGCAAGATGAGTGAAGCAGGTGCTTATTAGAAACTAGTAGCAGCAGTAAGCAGAATTATAAATGGCAACTAACTTTTGGCTATAGTAGGAGAGAGAAGACATGGAGTGGTGAGGCCTGTGGTAAACTAGAGAAGCCCACACCCTGCTACTTAGCTCCAGCATTGCAGCCCTGTGGAAGGTAGGCTTATATTGGCAGATCTTCTGCTTTTTCAAGAGAAGGTAGAAATTTGAATTTTTATGTGAAATCTCCAATTTTTAATGGATGGTAACTAACTCAAATATGTTTAAGGCTGTGAGTGAATCCAAACAAGTGTGAAGGCTAAACTCATGACATCTGCCCTGGAAAAAGGGAGTGTGAATAAGTAATTGTCAGATTCTTCCAGTTTTCCTTGTGGGCTCATAGGCTAAGACAACTACTGGGTTCCAAGCATTTACACGGATGAGGTGTGGGGGAGGAGGATCTATTCCTGAAAGAATACTGAACAGAGAAAGGAGGCTCAGGCCAAAAGACCATCTTTTTGCCTAGAGGGATTCGCATTTCTAGCACCTCACCTAGTGCTTGGTATACTCACTTACTAATTGGGTGGGGACCTATGAAATTGTGCCCTTAACACTTTTGTCCCACAGCTACAAAGTCAGGCCACTCTGCTTTGCATAATTTACAGACTCAGAGACAATCTAATTTGAATCACATATTTTATTTTATTTATGTATTTACTTTTGAGTCAGAGTCTCACTCTGTCACCTAGACAGGAGAGTAGTGGCATGATCACAGCTCACGGTAGCCTCTACCTCCTAGACTCAGGCAGTCCTTCTGCCTCAGTCTCTCAGGTAGCTGGGAGTACAGGCGCATGCCACCACACTCAGCTAATTTTTTTTATTTTTTGTAGAGACGAAGTCTCGCTGTGTTGTCCAGGCTGGTCTCAAACTTCTGGGCTCAAGCAATCCTCCCACTTCGGCTTCCCAAATTGCTGTGATTACAGGTGTGACCCACCATGCCCAGCCTTGAATTACTTTTTTAAAAAGTTTTTCAGTCTTAATTTTAATATAGTGCTGGTATTGCCTCCTCGGTAGATTGTGAATGATAGTAATACCTACTGGATACAGATAATAATGTATGTGGAGTTAAGTGACCTCACACACTAATAAAAGCTAATGCTTATATATGGCATACCATCAATGGTTCTAACTGCACTACATTTATTAACTCAGCGATCCCCATAACAACTCTATGAGATAGGTACAATTATCCCCATTTTTTGGATGGAGAAACCGAGGTACCAAGAGATTCAGTATTTTTTCCAGGGGCCACAGCCAACAAATGGTAGAGATTTGAACCCCATGCCATTGCCCCTTAGGCTTTTTATGCTGTGTTATAAGAACTGGTACTGCTCATGTCCCCTCTTCTGCCTTACCCTCCCCCACCCCCTGGCCTGCCAACAAGTCTGTGAAGTGTAGGACAGACAAGAGCCATGTGAAAGGTCTCAGCTCCACCCTGGGCCCACATCTTTTCAGCAGCTCAGGGCTTTTGGTGACCGGCACCCAGAAAGCTTGCTTGCCAGTCAGAATTGGAATATGAAGAACACACATGTAAATAGACAAATGAGAAGACAACTTCCCCAGGAACAGGGAGTTGGGGCAGATAGCTTTACAGGTTAGGAGAGGAGGTAGCTTCTGTTTGAGGCCAGGAGGATTGGCTGCTTAAAGCACAGGCAAAGGATGACTGAGAGCGTCAGAGAAAGCGGGAGTCATAATAATAATAATAATAACAACAATAATACCCATGACAATGACTGCAGCAGCAGTTGAGAGCCTTTTGTGTTCAGGTGCTAGTATGACCACCGTCATGCTTACTTCATCCTTTTAACAACTCTTGGAGCTGGAACAGGACCTTCCATTTTACAGAGGAGCTCATGCAGCCAGCTCTTCCAACCAGGAAGTTTCATTAATCTAGAGAACCTTCTCACTCTCCATCCTGAAAAGGACAGAGTCACCATCAGGCCATAGGATGCTCCTAGACAGGCCCTTCTCAGATTCATCTTCTACCAGCCAGAAGACACTTGAACTACCTATCACAGCTATCGATGCCGTTAGAAAATTGACCACAGCCTTACAGGCAAGCAGATGCTAAGCAAGGCTTTGGCAGAGAAGCAGTGGGCTAGAAATCGATGCTGATCACCCAGCAGTAACATGAAGCCCTGGCACAGCCTCACACCTAAGGCCTCAAACAAATCACCTAAATGGGGAAGTCAGAAACGAATCAAAGCAGAAGGAAACTTTAAACTCTTCCTACCTTGTGAACATAGTTTGAAGACTTCTGCTGTTGGAATCCTTATTTCCTTAGTGGCAAATGTGGGAAAGACTGGAAAACGCACCGACTGGGTCTGCACGTGTTACGTGTGTGAGAATCAGCTTCCCTCCAAAAGTAGAAATGAGACAGCCTTCACCCAGCCAGGGGCTGCAGCGGGAGCCCAGGTGGGTGCATTCCGACCATCTTGTATGTCACCTCTCTGCTGTCCCTTCCCGTGGCTGATGCCCCCACAGCAACCATGAGAGAAGCCCGCTTGGGTTTTTCCAGGCCTCTGCTGCCTCCAGCAGGGGGAAATTAGAGGGGCAGTTTGGAAGGTGTCTGTCTAACAATGAAGGGGAGGCCAAATTCCTCACAGCTCTCACCCACGCAGGACTTTCAGACCTGGACTTCGGTCACTTGTAGTTCAGAAGTCCTGGCCAGACCCTGGAGAGCAAATCCACATACGCCACCGAGTGCTGACAGGGAATCTTAGCTCTGCCCTTCTGTGCTTAAACCTGTGTGTGCCAAGTACAAAGACTTTTGGGGTTTTTTTTTTTAAGAAAAGAATCTTTAATGAGAAAAATGTCTCTTTCGAAGGTCCTCCATGGCCTGCCTGCCTGCGGAATGCCCATTGAAGGCACTGCTCCCTAACAACAGAACGCCACTGGCCAAGAAGCAAGTGTTGCAGGCTCCATGCTCAAGTGACTCCCTTTGCTCTGTGCCTTCCTCATTCCTTATGCAGACAAAACTGCCCTAGAAGTCACAAAGGACTGTGATTGCACAAAGATTCCCAATTCAGCCTCCTGGAATGTCACTAACCTGAGCCTGGCCAGCTTCCCGGAGCAGCCATAGACAAACTTGGTATTAACAGCTTTCTCAGCCCTGCTACGTGTTCAGGGCATTGACTTTGTGTTTATAACTCTTCTCCTAAAGGATATTAAAATGAAATGGGCCAAAGCCAAGTACATTTCAGTATAAACCTTGGTGGGGCAGAGCCTGCTAAGTATGAGCAGCCTTGTTTGGAAGTGGCCCTGTCTGGGGCCTGGGTTCCAGCAGGCTAGGGACCCTGTTCTGCAGGGTTCAGTGACA